AAAAAAAAAAAAAAAAAAAAAAAAATCAATCGTTGTCCATTGTTATTTTGATCAGTGTCTCGAATATTCTGTTTTTGGCAATGGCAATTTAAATGCTTTAAAATCGTGTCTCAGTTAAATTATTGCTGACTGTATGCAGAATCATGGTATTGTATCACAAAAGAAATTTAGCCTGATAGCTTATATAGTCTTTAGAGTGAGTTGTTATATATAGTCTTTGATCCTAGATATATCGGTACACTTAGATGGCATATTGCTTCCAAGGTTTTAAATTAAAAAAAAAAACAACAACAACAAAAACAAAAACAAAAACTTTTAAATGTTTTAGACCCAAAATGTTTTTATTACAGCGGACTGCTAACGATATATCTACTGGTAGAACTCTGGACCAGTCTTTGGTATTATTTTTTCTTCATGAAATTGGCCAGTGCTAAATTTTGACACAGATTCATTGGCGGATACCCCCACCCCACCCCACCCCCAGGCACCCCCTTTATTTTCTGGGATACCGCCTTCACCCCCATTTACTCCCTAGTTATTACAAGAAAGAACGACTTGAGACACAACCATTTAATTTTGCATTTATTATGTGCTCCACACTCTCTCTCCGTCTACTATTTACTAGTATTCCACTCTTCATATTTTAAACTATATTTTACCTCCTTCCCATTTAGCACAATAGCTGTAAACTGCCGGCTAAAGGCAACTTGATATTGTTGTTCAAGTTTACTATGGGGTTTCTTTCAGGTGGATTCCTGCCCGCAGCCTTCATGGTCGCCACTGCTTTCATAGACTGTGACACCAGGATGGCGGGGGTGGCATTCCTAACGCTAGCCATGACCTTCTCGGCGGGGGCGCTGGCGGGCTACCAGATCAACCACGCGGACATCGCTCCCAGGTGAGACTACAGGGCGTTATTATAACGTTACTGTAACGTTAATTTTACCAAAAAACGTTATGGTCACGTTATGATAATGTCATAGAGCGTTCTTTGTTTGCCGGGTAGGAAGATTCGGATGTTCCGTATTTCAGATATGCCACGGATAACGGAAAAAACCTGCTACCCAGGAGACGATTAACGATGTTCGGTGTCTTACATTTGAAACTGATCCATTTTAAATATTTCTCACTGGGAATAATATGTCATGGTTTAATAAAAATATAATTGAAACCAGACGCAATAAACGCTCCACTAGTATTTCGAGAATTTTTCTCCTATGTTTTGATGGTTGTTAAGTACTGGTTCAACGCCTGTAAGCATGTTAGTATCTTATGTATGATAATTATATATACAAATATTAAGTTGATCAACTATGTTGTCAAAATACACATTTATTTCAGATTCGCCGGTGAAATATTCGGCATTACCAACACAGTGGCCACTATTCCTGGTATGATCTCTCCCAGTGTGGTCAGCGCTCTTACGCCTAACGTAAGTTACGGTTTTTAAATTATTAAAATATTACAGTCTTTTGATCTTACAAGCAACACGGATATTACTATTTGTGGGTGTATTTTGGCTGATTTCAAACATTCTTCTATTTAGGGCTCCAAAGAAGAGTGGCAAAGGGTTCTCTTTATAAGTGGCGCCATTTACTCTTTTGGTGCTTTGTTTTTCTTGATATTTGCGAGCGGCGAGGAACAGTCTTGGGATAAAGTCGACAACATGAGTTATCAAGAAGATCAAGAAGCCAAGGAAAGATTCCAGATTGACGATCTTGCGCTGTCAACTTTGTGAGAGTGATGGGATAACGGCAGTAGACTGGGCTTATCTTACTTAATGATTCTTCGATACATTCTGTCAGAATCAATTAATGTCAATTTTTCCCAATGTCAATTTTTCCACATTGTTAAAACTATCACATTGCTCAGCCCAATATCTGATCCAGTCACGTAGTTATGTTGGGCATCATGTAGGCCTACCAGTAGGTCTAAACAGGCATATTGCTTTGTAGTGAAAAAATGGTTAAAACAAAGAAAGAAAGATTTTTTTTTTATAAAACATTGTCAACTGATCAAATATGGGTCACCTTTCCTTCATTTTGACTCCGCTCTCGACCTAGACCCGCAAATTCTCACTTTAATTTACGTTGAACGTGGGACTTATAATATCAATATCGGAAATGCATTCACATCTTCTGTCGTCGCTCATCAGTCACACCTAGCACACTTTAGATGTCCAGCATAACGATATAGCACTCCTGGTGATAGGAACTGGAACCGGGGTAACAGTAATCCAAGTCCCCCAAGAACCGAGGTCCTTCGGATGGTAATGGTTGTCTGTAGGACTAACATTACTTGGGAATAATAGTCCTACAGGGACTTAGGTTCCTGGCTCATAATTATAGTAGGTAGGACTTGTATTACTGTCGGACTTTTATTCCTGTTACATCTATGGCAGTAATAAAAGTCCGGCCATTTGAAAGCCCTATCCTTAGCCAATAATACTGTTAAATGATAAAACTATAAATGTATATGAAATCCTTCTGGTGAGCCATATATCGGACAAAAAATGAGAGGTTTGCAACTTCAGCTCGACTGTGTAGTGGTTAGCGTGCAAGACTACAAGGTAAGAATTCATGAGACCTTCTGTTGCATCTATGGGTTCGAGACCGACCTTTGACATGACCTTGCCCCCCCCCCATCCCCCACTCTTCCCACTATTTATTACTTGTAGCAAAATGTTTAATGGTGTTTTTAATGTCCAATATTTGTTCGAAATTCCGTGCTCATTACATGTACTACTCTTTTGTTTTGTCTTTTAAGTGTCAAAGCACCAAAATAGCAAAGGGCTATTACAGAACCTTATATACATATATTGCATTTTTCCGTTTCTAAACTGTCTTGATTTGTCTTAAATCTCAGTTCATACTTTCCAAGAGCAAATTTCCATCGAGTTTGAGGTTATTTTTTCATATCAGTGAGTGTAAACCGAAAAATAAATCTAAGAACGGAGATCCCGCGTTTTGTGTAAGGTGATTTTTCTCTTAGGAATAAAGTTTTGAAAGAAAGAGAGAGGGAGAGAAAATAAGAATTTCGACGCAAAACACAAAAGGTTCACCCCAGTAGAAAAGGACATTAAATAATATACACTGTACATATACCTCAAAGGATGAAAATAAGGGATGCCTTAAGATGGTGCCTTATTTTGTTTAAAAAAATATTTGGCAAACCAGGCTCATACATATTGTGCACTGAGGGAGGAGTACGCCACAAATATGCGTTAACACGTCAAAATTTGCGTTTACTATATACAAAATACACATAAGATAAATAAATTGCTTTTGTTTCTTCATTAATATGCATATAAACTGCCTATCTGAAAACATTGTAAAATATAAAGATAAAATGTCATATAAATAGAATAAAACAATATTATATCTTTAAAAAACTAGTATGTCTCTATATCTATTTAATCATGTCATTTCTTGATGTAAACTTTATAGGACATGCGTTACTAAAATGTCAGGAACGCACGTCCCATTAGGACGTGCATTACTACACGTAGGACTTACATTACTTGGGAGCCTTTGTCCTACGGACATTGAATCCTAGTAACGTATGTCCTAGGACTTCCATTCCTAGCAATGCATGCCTTAGGACTTGCATTCCCAGGACTTAGTGTCCGGGCAGACTTGGGTTACTAGGACGTGTACTCCTGCCACACCGGTGTTACGTGATTCAAGGTCATACGGAGCCCAATTCCCAATGATGGATAAACCCCATCTTACAGATTGACCCACTTATGTCAGACTAAACCTAACCACCCCCAAACCTTGAAGAATAAGTGAATAGACGAAATAGTGAGCAGGCAAGCCAGAATAATTTGGATTCATCTTGAATGAAAACGATTTTAACTCAAAACTGATATCCAGTGAAACTATTTTCACTTTTAACTGTGCTAACGTAAAGGACACCGTTTAGGGAAGAAGGTAGGAACTAAAACTTTCAACACTGGAACTAAGTCATTTTTGCCCACCTCTCTCAGCCTCACTGCTTACTAAGTTCATATTTCTACTGAGGGAGTTCATAATTCCCCACTCTCAAGCTCAAGAGCATGAGGGCGTGGTACGATTTTCAAAGAAGACGAAGGTTTTACTGATGATGGTCGTTAAAAATCTGGTACAAATGCGTAGGTCAGAGTTATTTTAAGTCGCATTTCCGCACGTGTGTCCGTGCTGATTGATTTGTACTCACTAAAAGCACTATAAATCGCATTCCAAGGTATTAGCAAGGTGCTTCACAGTCGGCCAGATTTGAGCAAATACAGCATATGTTCCAATATTAAGAAAAGCTCCGAGCGATTACCGAGTGGACGAACGGACAAACGTATCAGTTGGCGTGTAAGGAATATTGATATTGATATGGAGACAGTGGAAGGCAAACACCTTTATTTAAGTAGATTATGTTTGATCAGGAAATAAAAGTATAATATTTAACTTATCGTAAAGATCGACGTTTAGTTTGTTTAAGCCGCCTCAGTCAGTTGTCTAGAAATAGACGTGTTTTGTACATGAAAATTAAATAAAAGGCTTCTATTTATTAATTAATTCAGCTGATCTGATACAGATTTTATCCCCGTTCAAAGTGACAGAAAATGTTTAAAAAATCTCATTTCGTAATGCGGCTCTCGATCGGCGTTTGATGCTATATTCATTCATTACAGGCTTGTCACTTTATTGAGACACATACATTAATACAAAACTTCCTGCTCCAAAGCTGCTGAGTCATTTGTGGCGGCACCTAATAGCTTTCCAATTGCTAGAACTTTTCAGAACTGAATTACTCCTGATCTTGCTCTTTTGTCCTGCTGCATCAATCATTTACCATCTTTGATATAAAAAGAGAACAGAGTACTCGCGGGAGTTTACCTAAGAGGCTTTTTATCATTTACTACAAATTAATTCTATTTTTGCAATGAATAATACATCAATACACATATTTTTATCATTTAATTTTGCCCCCGTTTCATACTCCCGCAAGTTAATAGGATGCTCTGAAATGGTGTTTGAATAGCACATTGTCCCTATGGCGTTGCTGACGTAAACTGCACGTGGAGAAAATGTAAGAATGTCCATTAACTAGGGAATTTCTGGGTTAATTTTCTGTTTAATCGTTTCACGCCCTAAAAGCGTCCACCTGCATGGTTCTCAAACTACCGGGTAATTAAGGCAATAGCACAGAACGAGGATCGTCAACTTGCAATGAAGAATAAGAGTGCATTCCCAGAGATTTAGATCGATCCGTCCGGATCTACCAAACTCCCTGGGGGGTTCACGCTAAATTGCAGTTGGCCGAGCGCGCACGGTAGTTAATTACCCACTTACAGCTTTTAGTAGGCGGGGCAGACATATAAGCCGGCTAAGCTGACGGTAATCTAGTGAGACTCCCCACAGGGATAGATCGATCTAACATATGTGGGAATGGGGTCTAAAATTAGAGGTTTTTTGAGCACAACGTCGCAGAAGATTCCTATAGCTTGCACTGCGGTGAGAAAACTAGACGAAACGCGATGTTTGCAATACCCTAAACATTGCAAGCGTAAAAACAAACGAAACTAGAGATAAACAAATGTTTATAAATGCATAAATTGATAGTTACTCATAGACAATAACAAATACACAAGCAAATGAATAAAACAAAAAACACAAAGGACGTTAAAAGTGACGGTGCTGCTTTAGACCAAGTTTAATTTAATCACTACATTTGACCAAATTCAATATAATATATAATACTAAAATATGTCATTCTATAAACATGACATAAGTGATGCACTACACAATATAGTCACTAAGAGGTGTGGATGAACATCTCGAATACTTACTTACTACCAGTCTTCCACCCTAGGAACCTACGCACCTGTACTGGGTGCAGTTATTGACCAAGTGAATATCTTAAAATTAGGAAATGTCCACGAGAATAAAACCGCTAGGTAATGAGGAATGCGGGGGGGGGGGGGGGGTTGGCGCCAAATGTTCCAGTCAAACGAGTTTCAATGCGCCATATTTTATATCCAAACTATTCTCTAATCCCTTGAATACCCTCTGAACACCCAAAACTAAACAGGCTGAAGGCGTGAACCATAGTTCGTTTCCCATTTCTGTGTACAGGTGATATTTGCCCTATACCCCAATACTCCGCCTCCCCCCTCCCCACCCCCCCACCCCCGGCCTCGTAACTCCATTATTGTTCGATTTCAAATTGGGCCCGTAACTCGAAAGAATCGCGCTAGCATCTCGATTCCATAACTCGCCTATTCTCGCCCCATATAATACATTGTAGCCTCTATCGCTATTCGCAATACGCGATGCTTTCGAGTTACGGGACCTTGGACAACAATAGGTAACAGACTGCTGAGTAATCGCTGTGTATCTTGCACGGCCAGTACAGTTGCAAAGGTTCTGAAGTTGTCATATATATGACATGTAATGCTGCTGAATCAACCATTGTCCTTAATTTTGACGCCCCCCCCCTTTCTTAACACAAAATACTTGTACATGTAGACTCCTCATTGCAAGTGTTCGAGGCATCTGTTGCTCTGTTCCATACAGTTCTTGGTTATATTAAAATCTATGTAAACTAGTGCAAACTGACACTAACCGCTCAGTAATACTTATACACACCAGATACGTGACAATACACAAAATAAAAAGAAATCTCACTACGATACACTTCCATTGAGGCAGGTTCCTTTAGTTGTCCTGTCCACTCTGCGGTAGTTATTTGAGATCCGATTTCTCATTTCTAGCTGTGTGTATTGGTTACAAGTACAGTCCTCCTCGCGGCTGTTCTCCATCACGCTGGTATTCCTCCACTTCTTAACACCGCTACAAATAAGGCAAAGAAAAGCCTGTCTGAAGGATTTACTCATTGAACAGTACAGTATGAAGTTAATACTGTTGTTGATTAACGCCACGATGTCCATAAGATCTCCAAGGGGCGAGTAGACGGACTCAAAGTACTCCGTGTGGACCCCGCTCAACAGGGCCAGAACGCCTTGGGGGAATTCTGTGAAAAGAAACAAAATAATTACGACAACCAACATGCGTGTCGTTCTCGAGTGTTCCCGCAGACGAGATTTGAGTGCTTGGCTCCTATTGCTCCCGAATCTCTGCATCTCTCTCCCTTTAGCGGTCGTCTGTCTTATAGTATGCAAGAGAAGACCACCAAAAACAGTCATAAATATGCACGGTGTTATTTTAATGGCAATCGCATGGATCCAAAAGTTTATTTGATTTATGTTTGGGAATAGCTCCTCGGACAGAGATCCGTCTAATCTGAAATACGTTTTATTAGTCACTCTGTCGGTCTCTTGGACAATAGATTGGGCAAGATAATTAGGGATTAAAAAAACCACTGACAATGCATAAGCGAACATGACGGAGAAAAACGCCTTTTCCATTCCAAATGTGACATAACCAGAAGACGATGCCCGGATGTAAGCGTACCTAAATACGGCAAGAACGACTCCTACGAAGATGGACGCCGTATGCGTGGTGACTGCAAAATTAGCATGAAATAACAAAAAAGCAATCCATCCGTAGGAATCTCTCTCGGGGGTTATAGTTGGCGATGTGTTATGTAAAATTCGAAAATGAAAGGCAAACGGAACATACGACATCATGGTCAACATGTCGGCCACTGCCAATCCCGTCAGAATGAGGTTAGTAGGAGTCCGCATGCCTTTCCGCGTCAACACCGCGATGTTGAACATGTTACTGATGATGCCAAAGGTACACACAACGAGGCTGACGAAGCCATGGTAACCAGCATACCACGTCTCAAATGTCTCCAGTGGACTGGCCACGTGGTCGGAGCGGTTGTTAGTGACGTCGGCCGCGGATATAGACAACGTCACGGAACCCGTGCTTTCATAATGGAGACTTTGTGACGTCCCCATGGTTGGCGGCAAAATCTGTGAAAACGTGTCCACTTCCTGTGAAACTGTGTCCACGTTTGTGAAGACCGAAAGCAGTTTGCTGCCTGTCTGGTTCTACAATGCCGTCAGTTGGAGTTATTAACTGTCCACCTTTGATAAAACTACTAGCTTTGTGTTTGTATCACGCGTTAATGTGACTTAGATTCCCGACTGGCCTTTCTTGCTCGAACTGGTCGTTAATCCTTAAAAGAGAACTAAATCTGAGAGAACCTCACGCGTTTCGTTGCTCACTCACCCAAATACCCTTGCGAAGTGTAGGGAGTCATAATCCTACACCACACGGCTATTGGTAGATGGCACGTCAAAAGTTTTCCACTATGAAACGTGTCCTTTTCACACAGCTGGCAAATCCAATTTTTTACCGTGATGTTTATGTATTGTGTGTAAATGTAAAGTATTTTCCCTTAAGACACTACATTATTCATCATTTGAGCGAGTTCAACTGCGATCCTTAGAAAGAGAGCAAGAGATCACCTAACGTCGTTCACAGATTCCAGGATTTTTTTCTTCAGTTTCTCTTTAGTGCTAACGTGACCTTCCTCAATACTGAATATGAATCACAGGAAACTTGTCTCTCGTACAATTTATTTGGTTTTTTTGAAAAAAATCCTCCCTGCATGGCGACTGAACAATGTTTATATTGAATCATAACAATAGAAGAGTATTAATTAATTGAAAAGTTCCTTATGAAAGAGAAATAAAGTCCATGTGCTCCTCCACTTACAGAATACGTCCAACAGTTTCAGAGGTAAACCATTAAGATAACTGAGTCTCCTGAAAAATACACTAACATAAGTGTACACTTACGCGATCCTTTTTAATTGAACCTCGTTTTTACTGTGTGTCCACTCGTTCAAGTGGACATCAAGGTGTCGTGAGTTATAGGATGAACTTTCCTAAGGCTTTGGTGAACCGCAAATTCAGAGGAAGTGCATTCCAGTAAATTTGTAATTTTCCCCTTTTTTGGACGGCATTCAAGTCTTCACTGCTTGTGCGAGTAATTGATCACCAAGCATACGCCACCTAGATACATTTTTTATGAACAAATCAATTTTCAAAGAATGTCTGTTTTTCGCTTCACTGTCAAAATACCGCGTTATCCGCCGTATGTCCGCCTGGCTGGAGAGATTGAGATGATGTTGATACACTATCAGTCCCTTGATTAAGCTATCGGCGCTGCAACAAAGGGGGAGCGAACGCTTGAAAGAACAGACGCAATATCTAGACTACGTTTCCGATGAGAAAAAAATGAATAAGCACAGATAGTCGCCATACACTCAATAACGTACAGTAGGACCCCGACTATCGCTACCTTAGTGCCTTGTTGCTGCCTGGGTTCGTTTTCTTGCTGCGGTTGACGTGAATTTCCATTGATATATTTTCATATATGCAATCTGTGTTATACCGATGTTTTTCCACTTCCAAATGCCGTCGCCGATTGAACACTGATGTTAACCAGTTTCGTGCGAAATTATTGTACTAATTGTACTTCTGTGTAGCACCCTAGGGGGGCGTTCTAGGTCGTTCTTACAGTTCAAGAAAGAGACTCACTTTCACGCCGTTATTTGAAACCGGTGTCAGAAAAGCCGAGCGCCATGCGTCCGTTTCCTCCTTGTGATTGATAGCACTTTGATTACTGCAAATGCATGTTTAGTCTAATTAAAGCTCACTGACAAGACGTTATAACAAAGATCGATGTCGGTCTATCCAAAGCAACAGTCAACTGTATCGTGCAATAAACCTGTTGTTTTTTTAGCCTTCCCTTTAACGCCGTTCGTCTGTTGCCCTTTTCAGTATGAGAGAACCCAGTACCATAAATGTCTTTTGACGGTAACTCTCTATTCGCTGTATATGAGTTGCCTTATTTTATGTCCACGTTATGGCACCGATGTTTTATTGTAGGCTGCTGAGATAACAGTTTAAAGTCCTTTCTGGCAGGACACTGGGAGTAATTAAAATCTCTTTCCAAGCTCGTTGCCCTCGTTCCAGCCGTTGTCGATCAACGATCTATTTACGTAGAATGTCCCGAAACACTGTCAGCCTTCACTGATACTGTAATTACCTAGTCTTCATTAAACTCCTGCAATGAACGCAAATGTTTGCTAGACAAACTGCACTTCATTTGTTCAGGGTTGACATCTTCCAGTTCACCGAGTTTCATTGACGCACTAGCTCAGGTTATCAATATATCCCCAGCCTGGCGGGCTCTTGGGTTCGCTTCTTCCGGCGGTAACATCAACTGACATATTAACCAGCATATAAACTGCTATTTTAAGTTTGTTTTGTATTTGATACCTCAAATACGTGTTTTATGTAATCACTATGGAAATGTGTCTGAAATGTCCTTAAATGGCTCCCGGTTACCACAACTCCGCTAAAACCGCGAACAGTAAAACATCGGCCCAGCGAATCACTTTGGGCGTTCTGTTCACCTGGCTGGCACTACGACAGCTAAAGAAGGTCCTGAATGTCTTCCTTTTTATCTACTTATTCACGCACTCTTACACCGCAGTAGCGTCATGCTTTTTTTGCAAACAAACCCAATTGATTTTCCATGTCCTCGTGATTATCTGTTACACGTAGCCGCGTCTCCCGGTCAATTTTGTTGGGATTAATTGAAAAAAGCGTTCGTACGCACCGTGAGATTTACAAAAATGGCCCTTCCGAGAATTGGAGTTAATCGAAAATAACGTCACTCTGTACGGATATCCTGGATGAGACGTATGGTAGGCACAGTGTTAGTGATCATGACGGGCTGGTGTTACTCCTCACAAAACCAGTGGTAGATCCATGTATTCTGCCGCGGACAACAGTAATCATTTCTGTAGAAATACACCATATGAAGCGGCACCAAGGAACGCTCTGGATCAGCTGGATGAAGCTCTTAATGCGGATTTAGTCAGCACCTTCTGTCTGCGTACTGTTTCTTCATTAACGCGTCGAAGATTTTAAGTAGGTGGATTGGAAATGTAACAGTCAATCTGTCTTTTTCTATTTTTGCTTTCTTTTATCTCGGGCACTTTCACTGCGCACATATTTTTAGTACACATTGTGCTGTGGACGTTAGTTAGGTGGTATCTCGCTAAGTCCCCGTGTCTGTATGAACATGTTTTATGTGGCACTCATTTACCGTCACGGTGATTTTTTTATACTGCGAGAAAGACCTTGACGTCACTTCTCATCTGAAGACTGCGTCGTCGTTGAGCACTAATGACTGTGGCTCAGGCATGTTGCATTTCCTGCAAATAACAAAAAACAAGAATTGTACACGATGAGGTTTTTTAATGCCTCTTGTGTAACGATAGTAAAGGAAGTCAATAAAATCTTATGAGACTCGACTATTGTAGCCTCATAGCCAAAATACATGTTCAGTCAGTTAAGAAACGATTCTCTAATTTACTAATAATCGGTACTGTGGTTTCGGTACAACAAGATTCATATCACCTATATACGACACTGACAATAGTTGCCATGAACGTGGCTTTTTAATAATGAAAGTAAGTGCAAAGAGACAAATATACATGTCAGTACGCTAGAGGACAAATTACACGATCCGTTATTGAAACTCTTATTTATATACTTTTACAGTGCTTTTGATAACAAAGTAGGTTATCTTCTTGGCACAAGTCCCCTCCCCCCCCAAAAAAAAAAAAAAAAAAAAAAAAGTCAAATAAAATAAAATAAAAGATAAACCAAGACTGTCAAATAAAATAGCTCTAAGCTCCATGCATCTAACCTGTTTCATTGTACTGTTTCAGTGTATAATATATACGAACATCACTTTATAATATTCCAAATGTGATCAGTACAGAGTTTACCTCCACTTCTATCTCTATAATGATGCTCCCTAATGACATGATGACTATAATTTGCAGTGTGAAAATGCGGGAGCCATAATAAACAGTGGATACCAGACGTAAATAAACATGATGCTTTTCTACACATATTTTATTCATCTCGACATAGTCACCATCACCAATGACCGTAGCGTACTTTACCAGTTATTCAATTATGTCGACACAAATTGAATATAGACGAGATATCTGGGAATATTGCATAAAAGTAAAACGACGGACTCTGCCATAACAATTTGAAGACCAATACTAAATGAGACGCAAATATAGCAATGATATGAAAGATACTGACTGTCATAAATCATTGGAGCGTATAAGTAGATTTGTTCGTTATCGCAGGAAACGGCATGTGTTTTTTTTTCAATACGAACAGTTAGTCCTACAGAACAATATGTTTCCATTCAGAGTCAAGATTCATCCATGAAATGTTAATTTTGTTATTAAATATGAAACGCAGGTTCATAATACATGAACGTTCTACTCAGAGGTTTTCTAGTTCTAAATATGAACACGTTATATAGTTTAACACCAAGTTCAACTTAGATCATTTTTCCAAATGTGACCATGTTATAGGTTTACGCTAAGTTCACCTTAGACATATATTGTGTTATACATATGACCACGTCATAGATATACACTATGTTCAACTTAGATATATGTTGTGTTATATATACGAGCACGTTAGGAGTTCTAAATATCTAATTTAGTTTTGTTTCCACACCTACTGCTACTGAGATGTCTGTACAAGGTCATTTAAAATAGCACACTGGCTCTCAGTTCCCGTACTAGGTTTATTTTGAAAAAAAAAAGACATTTCCTAAAGCGTCAACTGCAAGACAATATGTGTATTATAGATGAAACATGTTTCAACTCATCTTAATCCCGATTGAAGTGCTCTTTTTAGCTCTTCTGTCTGTCTCAGATGCTCGATGTCGACTTCATTTAGCAAAACAGATTGAAAACATCTCTTTGAGCTTATTTCATTACACACGTCAACATTGACTTTTCACTGCCCTGGATGGACGGCCAGTTTCACCTTCACCGGGAAACTAGTGTGTTTGTGTGTGTATATGTGTGTGTATGTTTGTATGTGTACGTGTGTGTATATGTGTGTGTATGTTTGTATGTGTACGTGTGTGTATATGTGTGTGTATGTTTGTATGTGTATGTGTGTGTATATGTGTGTGTATGTTTGTATGTGTACCTGTGTGTATATGTGTGTGTATGTGTATGTGTGTATGTGTATGTGTGTGTATGTGCATGTGAATATGTATGTATGTGTATGTGTGTGTATGTGTGTGTATGTATGTGTGTATGTGTGTGTGTGTGTATGTGCATGTGAGTGTGTATGTGTACGTATGTATGTGTGTGTATGTGTGCATGTGTGTGTGTATGTATGTATGTGTGTATGTTTATGTTTGTGTGTGAGTGTATTGAGAGGTTAATATGACGTCATTCTCATTGAAATGTCTACCAGATTATTGGTGTTTTTGTATTTGTTGTCGTTTTATTGCAATAAGGATATTTATTGTAGTAAAGCTGTTGTTAATATGAAATTAACACGGTATCGTATCAGGCAAATTGAGTCAAACCTTGAAATTCGGCGGATAGGTCTACAGCCATCCGTTGTAGGTGCTTCTGTGGATCCCTGATTTTTAAACGGATAAAGAACTGATTACATGGATATTAGAGAAAGGTTAATGTGTATGGCACTGGGATTGGGAGATCGTTTGGTTTTGCCTTATTTTGCTTGGTATACTGTGTTGGTAGGAGGTAGAGGGCTGTATCTCGGGGATATAAGAGAGGGATAGGGTGTCACGTGACTCGCTGTGTTCGCTCCACCATCGCATGTAGACCACAAAACCATGAGCTGATAATTTACATGATGCCTCGTTTGATACAGTTCCGAATGATAGAATACTGATCAATGTACAGACGCCTATTTTGCCTCAAGTGATAGATACAATACGAGTCGCCGAGCTGCACGTGAAATATTACGAGTGTATTGTCAAACTGCAGGCGTTCTACTCGCTAGCCGTGGCTAACTTCGTATAATTACTCAAACTGCGTCACCCTATCAGTGTGACAGTCGCCTCATTATGCGGTCAGTGACACCTGGAGCAGGTCTGACAACAGGTGACAACAGGTGACAGGTCTTGCGCGCTGTCCGTCACGAAATACGGTGATTTTCTCCGAGAATTACCAGGTCAAGCGGGCCACGCTACCTTAACAGCCTCAGCAGCTTGGCTTGCGTCCCGCCTCCGACTACGTTATAATTATGAAGAAGAATGCGAATAGTTAGTAGGGGCACATGATTGGCTATTAAGACATCTAATACATATACAAGATTACTTTATATAGATTAATAGTTTTCAGTCAGGTAGCAGCGAACCGTTGGGTGTCTTTTTACAGTGTTGTATTGAAATCATGCCTTTATTTTGGCTCAACATGAAAGTAATGTTAATAAGAAAAATACACGTTAAATGACTGATTTCAATAAGTGGTGGACTGCTTCTCTACCTGTAGCCACCGGGTTAATAATACACGGTTTATCTCTTTATAACAATTTTTAGTGGAATTATGTACTCTTGGTCAACAAAAGACCCACTCATTATGAGATACCGTTTTCTGTCAATATGACATGACTGGCAGAAATAGAACAATCCACAGCCGGTGTTTCATTCAGTCACATTCCCAAACATTCAAGCTGGAGAGCCATTAAATTTTCTTGAAAAACGTCCAAATAAATTTGGTGCCTTTATATGCATGGCGCTTTCTGAAAATATGCGCTTCAGCACGATATACATGTATGTAAATCGAAATTCTTAAACTAGTGGAACGGAATAAAGTGTTTCTTTCTCAAGCACAAATGCAACAATACCTTCCGTTCTTGATGCCGTGATTCTTGCTGAGCACTGCAGATAATTCATTCAGCCCTGCTTTCCTCGCCACACAGAACACAAGTTCGGAAGTTCAGGCCCCGTTCATAAATCTGAAGCCGAACATTGTGATCTTCTTTGCTAAAGGTTAATCGCGTCGTCGTATAATTATATAAATCAACCGTCGGTCTAAATTTTCACTCATCATTCATATGTATTTACTTCCTGCTTGTGGTGTGGAATGTCCATCATTTCCTTCATACCGTGTTCTGAAACTGGATCCAAAGGCTTGCTGCAGCCGACCTTCATCTCAGAGCAAGCTCACACGGTGACAGATCAACGCACGGCTGCATTCAACTCGACAGAGTTTCCTTACAAATCATTCCTTAGCGTTTTGACAAATCTATTCCCCTTCAAACTCCGTGCAGTTAGATCTGTCACGCAATGTATTTTGGTCGCTGCAGATCAATGGAACCACTTCAGACCAGGTCGTGATGAGTGCAACCAAAGTATATACCTCCTTCAATCAAACTGATGATTGGTTTCTACAAGAGTACAGATGACATTGAAGTCAATGTTACTATTGTAACATGTGGAATCCTTAGGTCGCGTGCCATGATATTTTCATGGGAACCCACGTTGCCTAAGTTACAGATACGGTTTTGTAAATGCACCGTTGTATGAAAGATGGAAGATTATATATTCTGGGAGGGGGGGGGGTAAATGACATAAATAACATGCCTTGGCGTATTAAAAGCATAGTAGACGATACAGTTTTAGTATGTTCTAGTACATGTTTGGCACAGGGGAAATCGTATTTCTGGTATTCAGTTCCGTTCAAGTGTATTGACAGGCAGGAACATTTCATCTTTTTTTGTTAATTCAAAGCCTCCGCTGACAACAGTTTTCGAAATCTATCTCATCGTTCTTATTATTATAGTTCTAAAGCCCATCACAATATTTCTTATTCGAATCAATAAACAATACTTGCTCACGTTGTAAGTATAGGCTTTTCCCTGTGGCATTTACCTTGCGGTTATCTAATTATGGCAAGTGCGACCTTAAATGCGTCTTATGGCAACATGTTCTGGGAAATGGCATTCCTTGGTTTTAAAAAGAAATTAGCATACTCTTAGCAGGATTGTAACAATAACAGACAACACAATATCTCCTTCTGAAATGCAACATTTGCGTCAAAAATTCTCAATTTCTGCGTCTTTGTGCTCCCCTGAGGTTGTTAAAAAAACAAATTTAATTTACTGCTACTGTTTCGAGTCAACATGCCACTGCGTGTGCGATGGTGTGATTGCATTAGAAAGAAAAGTGATATACCTTATGACTGCCAGTCAGTTTGACGTTTAACAAAAGTGCATTTGTACGCAATTGTTTTAAAAGCTTATCTTCTACCGAAACAAAAAATCATACAATTTGATGTCATCAATATGAAGAAGTTAGAGTCGAAGAGTATGGCAAGCTTTTCTTAAGAACACCATCGTCTTCCTGGTC